CACTTCTGTTAAATATACTGACTATCAGGATCTGGGCTAATTGAGCCTAATTTTGGGGCTGTGGTAAGAACACAGCCTCTGTGAACCTTGCTGAAATGCTTGCTAGTGCTGTGAAAAGATGTCTGAAATGAAATTCAGATTTTTTTTTTTTTCTGAGAAGGAGCGTCCCGTTAGTTTTTTAAAAAGCCATCATGAAACTTCTGTGCAGATCTATGAAACTAACACTATACATGCATAGATTTTACTACTTCAGATGAACTTGAAGAGAATGGTGGACTACCACTTTAGCATAGCTCACTGGCAATGAATTTGGAAGCTGATGCGTCCCTCGTCATTCATCACTGGATGCTACTTTTGTCTGCTTAGTCAATCATGTTCTCTTCTGTCAGAAATGGCTGTGATGATTCACCTGGACTGGAATTGTTTATTTTGTATTGCTTTGTTTGGATGGCTCTTAACTTACGTGTGGACATTTTGTTAGAGTAGCATTGTAATGCTGGAGATTCTGTAACTTGAGAAAACAGCGTTTAGAGGTTGTGTTGTTTTCAGTAGTAATAAGAGTGGCCATTATCTTTTAAAAGTTGTCAAGAAAAAAGAAAGATTTATGATATATTCAAAAGTAGCGTCCTTTTTTTAAAGTACTGGCATTAAACCCATTTTTCTGTACCCTGGCATTTCAATATCCATCAGTTAAAGCAAAAGAATTAACTACCACTAGTTTCATTGGGAAGCAGTAACGAAGATTACAAGCAGCTTTTAATATATGCATTTTTAATGTTAGTCTGTAAAAATAGAATCAAAAAAGTTGAGAACTTTATTTGTATGCAGAAAAAAAGTTTCCTTTAGATCTTCATTCAGAGAAGTAAGGACTCTCTCAAACGAAAAGCTTAGCAAGCCTCATAGCACAAATCTTGGGAGGAGGAAGATTCTGGATCCACGTTCTGTATTCATGTCCTTAGGGCTGAATGCTTTTCAGGACTGGATCTTCTCTTCACCTTGTAGACATGTACTTTCTGATAATAAATTAGATGGGTGCTAAGACCCAGGTGATATGAGAAGTCAGAGCTCTTGTTCTGCATAGGACTTTGGACCTTAAGTCTGCAGTAAAGTCAGCGTGGGTCTTCAGATCTTCCACAGTTACCTACTGGAATCAACAATGGAGCTTTCTGTTTCTCAGTTGTCAAGGCTGGGGACCCTCTTAGACTCTGTTAGAAAACCCTGTTAAACCCTATCTAAACCATAGGAACCTTGGCTAACACAAGCTTTCATATCCATCCTTTTGTCTCACCTCAGTGGGAACATGGACAAGACACATTTTGTGTCCCATTTCCAAAATGCGGTATGTGCATCCAAAATGGGAGTTATTCATGGTTAATATTAATACTGGACAGTATCCAGGAGTTATTTGTGCAGGTGTTAAAGTGCTATCTGGAACAGGTCAAAACTGCCAGTAACTGTTCTGATAATACAGATGGCTAAGTTACCAAGCTAAGAGTATTGCCTGGTGTTATTAAACATATTAGACATTGTTACTAGCAAAGCAAAAGGTGGTGTTCCCAGCTGTGTAATGGGAAAGAGGGATACAGACAAACACAAAATACCCTCATAAGAACATTCCAGTTTAAACTCTACTTCTCGTAGCACCCTACTCATCAAGAGGAGGGTGCCTTCCTCTTGGTTGGTCTAAATTTTGGATCCCCTTCTGCCTAACTATTTTTAAAAGATATCAGGACGCTGATGTATGCAAATTAATTTTGGTTCTTCAGCTCTTGCTCTTCGTTCCTTAATATTGTTTATTTTAGGGGAATACACTTTATTGGCATCTCTGATTAGCCATTGAAATATTGTGCGAGTGAGAAGTTGCACCAACTGTCTGCATGTGGGATACCTATGGACACTTCAATATGCTTATTTCCTTCTGGAGATGATGCTTGCCTCTCTAAGATGTTAATTGAACTGTCATCTCTCTGACTTCCTTTTTTCCAAGCAACATAACTTATATTATGCTGTGCATTGTTATGACTTTAGGATAAATATTATGAAAAGTACCATCCATACAACATTTTGATAGTCTGGCAACTCGGGATGCATTGCTGGGTTTCCATAGAGATGATGCACAATGTATTAACTTGTATGACTGACTTGACAGTGTCCGTCTTCAGTCAGATTCAGAAATCTGAGCCCCTTTCTTATGAAAGGAACACTATAAATATATTACTTGGTGTGGTGTAGTAGGATGTCTAAGTGAGTTCAAAGGCAGCACACAGTCTTGCTGAGAAACTTCATTTGTTTCCACTCTTGCAATCATAGTTTCTAGTGGTGAAACTGAGTTAGCTTTTCACATATTAGTGTGCAGATATGGAGAAGTCTTAACCCTCTGCCCCCTTCTTATGCCAGTAATGAGAATTTCCACATTTCCCATATCATGCTTTTGTCATCCATAAGATATTAGGACATCCAGCTATACCTCAAGTTGCCAAATCACAGAATCACAGAGTAGTTGGGGTTGGAGGGACTTGTAGAGATCATCTGGTCCACCTGCCTACCTTCAGTAGGGTCAGCTAGAACAGGTTACTCAGGATCCTATCCAGTCGGGTTTTGAATATCTCCAAGGATGAGACTCTGCAATCTCTTTGGACTGCAACCTTTTTCAATTGCCCTCACAGTGAAGAAGTGTTTTCTTATTTTCAAGCGGAATTTCTTGTGTTTCAGTTTGTTCCTGTTGCCTCTCGCCCTGTTGATGGGCACTACTGAGAATCTGACTGCCACCTTTTTACACCCCCGCATCAGATATCTATAAACATTGATAAGATTCCCCTGGAGTCTTTTATTCTCCAGGCTCAACAGTCCCAGCTCTCTTAGCGTCTCCCCATATGAGAGATGCTCTAGTCCCTTAATCGTCTTTGTGGCCTTTTGGCCTTGCTGGACTTGCTACAGTAGCTCCATGTCTCTCTTGTACTGGGGAGCTCAGCACTGGACTCAGCACTCCAGGCATTGCCTCCCCAGGGCTGAGGAGAGGGGGAGGATCATCTCCCTTGACCTACTGGCAACACTCTTCCTAATGCAGCCCAGGATACCATTGGCCTTCTTGGCCACAAGGGCACATTGCTGCCTCGTGGTCAACTTGTCCACCAGGACCTCTGGACCTTCTCTGCAGAGCTACTCTTCAGCTGGTCCGCCCCCTGCATGAGGTTATTTCCCACCAAGTGCAGGACTGCATTTCCCTTTGTTGAACTTCATGAGGTTCCTCTTTGCCCATTTCTCCAGCCTGTCAAGGTCCCTCTGAATGGCAGTGCAACCACCTAGTGTATCCTCCCAGTTTTGTACTGAGAACTTGCTGAGGGTGCAAAATATTTCTTTATAAAGCAACAGACTTCTCAAATGTATTCCAAGCTTTCTGTAGAAAAGCTTGAATTTAGTTTTTCTGGTGCAGAATCGTTATTTTTGGCATAGCTAAAGAAATATAAAATCTTAAATATAAAACTTAAATTTTCTGAAATTACTTTGTTTAATCTCACCACTCACCCACCAATTTTTTCATGGAGAAATTTTGTATTCTTAAAGCCTGGGTAAGAAGAGCCATTAGTTCATTTAACCTGGTACTCTATATAGTGGGAGATCTTATGTTTAATTTGGTTATTTCTCTATTGTGCATTGCCTGAGATCTATTTTAATTTCCCCCGTAATGAAGAAAAGGAGGAATGAAATGGGAACATTAAGACTCTAAAAGCATGACTTTCCGCAGCCTGAGCATATTCAGTGGTCTATACTTTGAAGCAGTAACATGTTTTTGTATTCTGTATAGTAACACAGAACTTGAGGGAGACTTTTTAACTTTTTTTTTTATTTATTTATTCTTTCCCCACTTCTTCTCAATACACCCACTGGCCAGCAGGACGTTTTCCAAAAATGCATCTACTCTCCATTTGAAGACATGAAGTGAAAGATAAAACCATGCTTAATAGTCTGTTTCAACAGTTAGTCATCATCACTGTTTGGCAGCCTAAGGTTTTTCTCCAAGGTTAAGATGCCCTTACTGTTGGCATTTTCTCCCCACCGAGCTCACTGGTTGCTCTGTAAGCAGAGTAAATCTTTTTGTGTTGAATCCCTTTTGAAGCACTCTTTCTGCTCTCACTTCAGTACTTTCATGCTTTCTTTAAACTGACCGGGAACCATTGTATCCAAAGCTGTGTACAGAAATAAAATTGCCTTTTTCCTCCAACTTGATTCCTTTGAATGAGAAAATAGCTGAATAGATATGCCTGGGTCTGCAGGTTAGGAAACTCGCATTCCTGGTCACTGCACTGAAACTCTTGTTTTTAGCATTTGTTTAAATGTTACTCTTGTGACTTTGTTTGACTGTACTTGGTTGAAACTGTGAATGAACTGATGCTTCTTTGAATATCTGCTTTATAAGGGATACAATGAGAAAAATAAACCTGCCCTTGCCTGAATAAGAAATGGCAATATTGGGCAATTCCATTTCAACTAAAGATAATTTTTTTTTCAATGCTATGAAATGTTTCAAAGTGCTGCTACTTGATTAAGTCCGTGGTAAGTGTACATTGTATTAATCATGAAGGAAAATACTTTAAAATATTATTTTAAATTACTTATCTGAGGTTTATGGATCTGATATAGAAAGATTTGCAACAAGTCAGTGGAGTAATTGCATTCTGATGAGGTCCAGTAGTGTACGAGTCTGTTTTAGGAGCCTGATAATGAGGAAAGAAAGCACAGCCAATACAGACCCCTAACGTGGAAATGACAATAATTGTTTACCTAAAAATCCTCCCAACAAATGCCTTACCCACAATATAGCTTCTGTTTCAGCTATCCCATTTTATTCTGTCTGTCTCCATAACCTTTTGTTCCACCTGTGATGTTTTTCAGTAGTCACATGATAAAATGTCTAGGCTAGATTCCAAGGACGGAATAAAAAGCTGGGTTTTTTTTTATGAAAGCACTAACAATTCTATTTGGATTGGATTTCTTTGTAGCAAAACCACTGAATTATTGAACAGATTGGACCTGGGTTTGCCAAAGAGTCACTCCTGTCAGATTGCTAATCGTGGCCCAGAATCTACAGCATGGGTAAGTAAAGCTATGGAATGTGAAATATTTTCTGTCAATTTTCCAGGTACTATCAATAGTGTAATATTGGAATACTCTAATTGAGCTTAATTGCCCAGACATAATTCAGTGAGTACCAAGGAGTCCTTCTGAGTGCGTGAGATTGTGTGCATTGTCTGTGATACACTGGCAGAGTATCCTACATGGTAAGGGTCAGCCTTTATTACTTGCAGATCTCTCTCTCATAACTAAGAGGCAGATTTATATTCTAAGTTCGGATCAGAATCTTAAATGTGCCTGTGCCCATCAGCTAGTGGCACGCTTTTATGAAATCTCAGCTGCTTCGTGTCAGTGGATGCTGTACTGCATTGACAATCTAGTCAGAAAAGAAGCTTATTTTTCAGTGTGTCATAAAAGTGATTCCATGGTCTGCGTGGGGACTTTGTCCCTGTTAGAATGAGCCTAGTAAAGGATCAGTGTAATTAGGAAAGATGTGAAGTGTTGCTTGAGTTCTAATTATTCTAATTGTTTCAAAAAGGCTTTTTCATATGTGATTAGTCTCTGCGTGTCTAAACTAGGCTTCCTCACTGATGGAAAAACTTGCAGTGAGGCGTATTAACCCTGAGATAGAAATTTTTCCCTTTGTGGGGGCTTCTAAATGGGGGAAAATCTGCAGTGGACAGCTATTTGGACAGAAATTATTGTTACGGACAGTAGTTCTGTATCAGCAAAAACTTGGAATTTTCTAACCTGGACAGCCCTCTGTTGTATGGAGTCTCGAACATCAACTGTTGAGAAAGGGAGGAAAAGATTCTTCTGCATATTTTCTCAGGAGCCATGAAAATATGCTCAACTTTCTCCCATGTATAGGAATTGTTGCGAACAATATATGAGGGCTCTATCTTGCTGTAGTATCTCTTCCTCTGTCTCAGCTGTATGAAAGGAGAAGGTGATACTGAAAGTATGTTCCTTTCCCCTTTAATTCCTCAGGTCAGGTTGTCTCTGAAAAAGATAAAGCAATCTTAGTGTATGCAGGCAGATTTATAGTTTGAGAGAACCAAATACTGCCCAGCAGCATTGGCCCGCGGAAGAAAGCCGGTGGCATTCAGACTGTCTTTTTTAGTCCTGAGTAGACTAGTAATATGCAGTACTATGGGAAGGGAGAAAAAATGTCTTGAAATTACTTCTGCCTCCCTCTGAGGCATCCTGCGCTCTGAACAATGGGGAGCTCATCCTTTGTTTAGGGCAGACGCTGCTCTTCAGCCTTTCGTAGGACATGAGCACTAAATTGAGAAGATAAGTGAGTGCATGTCGCCAGGACTGAGCTGGATTTCAGAATTTTAGTGCTATGTCTGCATATCTATATAGAAGTGGGTAGATGCCTTAGAGAACATTGCATTCTTTCAGTCATGCAGGTCCTGCTTTTAGTGGTTGCCTTCTACTTCATCTACCTACTTGTGTCATTCTCATTGCAGTTTTTGAGGGTTTTCTTAATAAATTATGTCAAATCACACACCATACTTCATCTTTGGCTTAACCAATATTCAAGCAGATAAAATACATAGTTTATCTGTAATGTTCTTTATTAATACCAGCTGATATTACATGTGCCTGTTGCGTGATAGCATTTATATACCTTTGTGACTCAGTTTATCACTTGCTTATAATGCAACAGTGCAGTTAGCAAAATGTCTTTTCAGCCAGTTTAGATGAAGCAAAGTCTACAGCCATGCTCACATCCTCTGTGCTCTGTGTAAGGGCATCTAACCCTTGGAAGAACCACATGACCAATGATTTGTTACTGAAATAGAACTGGCATGATACCAGATCACTTAACCTGTGAGGAAGCTCACACTCTAATTTTGATGTGATCTTGGACTTGTGCCTTGTTTGGAGTAACTAAAACATTCTAATTTATCTGAAATTCTGAAGTATGATAAATCTGGGAGGTACTTGATATTCATGTTAAGGGTTTTGTGTTGATTTTTTTTTTTAAGTTAATGTTCTAAAGCAAGTTCTAGACAATGTCATGTAGATTTGAATTTTTTTCACTCCCATCCTTTCTTTGATACTGATACTTATTTAGCATACCTAGTTCAAGTATCACTGTCAATTATTACCCAAATGCATGTAGAAAAATTTGCCTTCTTCTGAGTAACTCCATTTCATTGGAGACTTTTTTGGCCCACTTATTTAATCAAGTTCATAATTAATTGTAATCCTGTCTTTCAAAGTGTTAACAATCCTGTCTAGATTTTTTTCTTCCAACTTGATTAACATACACTCCACATGATCCTCCAAGCCATTACTGAAAGTAATGAATAATTCTGGACCTAGAATGAGTCTCCCTGGACACATGCAACAACTCCTTCCAGCTCAAAACTGAGCTATTAATAATTGCTCTCTCTGTTCAGCCCTTTTAGCAGACTATGTGTCTGTCATTTTAATGGTGTCATTCTGAACCACATATATCAAATTTGAAGAACATTGTATAGACCTGCATCAAATCCCCCACTAAAGTCAAACTATGAGCTAGACCTGCACACATTTTGTATTAAATAATACTGGTTTATTATCTAGTGTGCTACACGTATGCTCTGTCCCTGCTCAAAGACTTTACAGTATAAGTGCGTAAGGACTTGATGCTAGGCTGGAACTTCACACAAAGCTGCAACTTATGAAAGACCTGGGCTAGTTATTGTAAGGAACTCCTGCACAGTCAGTTATCTTATTTGTGATGTCTAGTTTGGATTTTCATTTCTCTCATTTGCCCCTCGAATAACAGCAGGCAGGATCTCTTGGCTTTTGTTGCCCTTCCTCTGCACATCTCTTTTCAATACTTCCATGGAAATAATCCAGGGTTCCCCTCTCTTACCAGGCATCCCTTCTGCTTAGCTATCTTAGTAATACTTCCAGATCTTTTCTTCTTCTCAGAATACCCCATCTCACTATCAGAGAGGCCAACTGCAGTTTCTGATTATTTAGGGTGTTTTTATGCTTATCACTGGGACAAGGAATAGCATGTGCTGTGGCTGGTCTGTTGTGATGTGCAGATAGACATTCAGCCAAGCTGAATGAACGGCTGGATTTTTTTTTAACACTTCTAGCTTATGTTAGTGTGAAAACTAGAATTTTCTTAAGTAACTGGAATCCTTCAACCACTTCTGTTTTGTTAATTACCTGCAAAATGATTTAGGAATGAGGCTTGGGATTGTGATGTGGTCCCCCCTCCTTATCAATATGTTTTATATTCTCTGCTGAACAACAGACTAGAAGCCATACTTACAAGCAAGCTCTTCAAGAGGATGAAAACAGAAGATTAGAGGAAATGAAGCAAGAACAACGGAGGAAGGTAATTTTACAATAACAGTGTGCATATTGTATCATTTTTGCATGCTGTGAAACCAATTAAATGCATTGATTACTGTAGTCTACGCACAGAGCTTCTCCTTAGGGAAAGTGGTTTGGTCACTGTTTTCAAATATTGTGAAAGAGATGAGCTAAGCTGTAAGATTTGGATATAGATTGAATTATCGTCAGAGTTCATGCATCTGGATGACAAGTTTCTACTTCTCTCCCCATTTGAACAATTGTGCAGAGCATTTTCTGGATCATGGTGTGCAATTTCATACTCTTAGGAAACCAATTTCCTCTCTTGCAGGCAGAAGTAGTCTTACTGAGATATCCATGATGATCTCAGACTCTGAATATAGTCTGTTTTTAGAGAACCAAGGCCTGTGTGCCCTGCTTTCTGAAATGTGTATGGAAGCATTCAGATTTGCCATGAAGTGTGTCTGTTTCCATGTTTCCTTGCTAACCACATAAACTAAGAATTTTGAGCAGTCGTAAAAGCAGACATACCATAACTACGAGTTAGAAATCCATCTTCTGCACACACAAGGCACGTTGTCTGTAATGCATCCTGACCACTGCAGTCCCTCTAGCAATATTTTGCATACTATATCCACATGAAGTTAATCTACACAGGATTAGGGCGTTGTGCTAAACTGACTATCTCGGCCCCAGCTCTAACTGTGCAAGTATGGGGAGGGCAACGTTAACTGCAAACCACTCAAGAAATACATTAGCAAATACTAAGACTCTTGTTATGCCTGTGTCGTTACTTATATCTAAATTAATGTTAAACTACTTCCCTACTAGTAGAATCTTAGGTAGCTCAACAAATCCCATATAATGAGTTTCTAATAGAGCTGGACAAATAATTCAGGCCCCTCCCAGAAGCCTTTTTTTAAACACTTGGGATAATTGTGCTCTTTTCACAGTATTTTAGTAACCAGAATGCTAGAAACAAAAGCTAAAAAAAAAAAAACCACTAGGGAGAGTCTTAACTGCTTTCCCAAGAACCGTACACAAGAAAAATCCTTGAAAGATAGTCACGTGGGGCATATGGCCTGCAACTGTTGTGTTGTGCATGTATTCTACCATAGACAAAATGAATGCAAACGTGCATTAGCATGCCCATGTGCTGTGAGTTTGGTTTAAGAGACTTATGTTGCGCTTTTGACTATTCACTATTTAACATAGGTTAAGAAGAGGATGTTGACTGGATCCAAGGCTATTCTTTCTTGGTGTGCTGTTCCACAGTACTCCTTGCCTTCATATTTACTGTTACCTATTGCACAGAGTAATGTACTACTTACAAACCTACTGTAAATAATACATATTTTAAAGGCCCAATGATTGTCCCTCGAATTTATGTTGGCTCATTTCTACTTCAGACTAATATGTATTAAAGGAATTGTAAATTCTGTCTTGTGTGCACCTTCTAGTACAGTGTTGCTATAAAACGTATATGTATTGTCAGTTGCGGGTTTTTTTTCAGAACAGGTTTTAGTATGTATTGCTTGATTTAAAAATTTTCAGTACGGTTTAAACACTGCATCATATACACACAATATATTTCAGAACATTACTCCAGGAGAGGACTCAGCATATTGGAAAGTCAGATACTGGATTTTAATTTTCAGGTTGAATAGTTATTTAAAACAGTGAAAATTAAGGTTGGCTTTTTTATTTCTTAATCCTGTTTCTTCTTTTAGGGCTAGACAAATATTGATACACAACACATTTGCAGTTATTGATCTCTTTTTTTGCATACATTTATTGCATGGTTTTTATTTAATGTTCCACTTAAATTGATTTTTTTTTAACTTTCATAGTTCCATTCAGTTATTGAAGCTTTTATCTAACTGCACCATTTTATTTTACTTCCTATTCCTAGTACTACTCAGTTGCTATGGAAAATGTGAAGGATATCTCTGTTCTTATCCCTTTCCCCTCCCCCTGCAAGCCAAATTCTCTTTGCAGAAAAATCTGCATCTTCAGTTCTTGGGTGCATTGCAGGGAGTAAGAGACAGACAAACAAGTACACATGCATAGCTCAGTCGTAAACTGTGTTTCCTTGGCAGTCCAGCCTGAAAACGCATAGACAAATTCTCTTCTTGAGAGAAGTTCTTTTGAAGCTATTTATATGCCTTAATATTACATAATGTAAGGTTTGTAGGCTCCAGTCCTAAAGTTTTTAGTGTAATGGGAGAAGACACATCCACAGATACAGCAAGGTCACTGTACATGGAGTATAAGTGTCGTTGTTTTGCTATGGGTTCTAAACTGGAATAATACTTTTGGAAGAGTTTTCCTGTCAGACAGAAATTTGGGCAAGAGGGTGAAAGAGGGAAAGATACAGTAGGTGTGCTTCCTGAAGGGCTCCACCGAGGCAGGAGGCAAAGGATACATGTCCTTTACACCTACAGGGATCACGTCAGACTGTGTCGGCTCCTGCAAAGGGACTTCAGCCACCTTCGCTCTCCTACCCGCAGGGATATGCAGACCTGTGGGTTGGAGGAGGAGGAAACTGAGGGTCTCAAGCTGAAGGCTTTGTGTGTTTCTCCCTCATGCTGCATAGCAAACTGGAGCTTTGGGTGCTGAGGGAGTGAAAGAGCGGTGCCTGGAAGCTAGGGGCTCGGCTAGAAGGACAAACCTTGCGCATGGACTGAAGTCTGGCATATCCCTTTAAAGGCACGAATGCAGCTGCTTGAGTTCTTTTACTTCCTACTTCTTGGGCACAAATATATCTCGTCTAGTGCAACCCTGAACAGAAAACTGAGCTCAGTTTTTAATGTAGTGCTGTCATGTAAATAGAATGCAGTTGAAGGAAGTTTTGGAAATGGCACGTTGTTCTGGTTGAAGTTAGCATCATGTGGAATTAATTGAGTTTTCAACATAGGAATGTTAATTTAAAAAGTTTACTTTTTGATTTTTATCATTCCCAGGCTGAATTAATGGAATTCAAACAAAAGCAGGAAGAGGAAGCCCGAACAAGAGCACACCAAAATGAACAGAGGAGGTAGGATGCAAAAAACCCAGAATGCACTTTAATTGAATTCCTTTCTAGAAAAGGTCTCAAAATTGCCTTCATTCGTGCATTAGAGAACTACTGCAATGAGGATCCCTGACCTAGCCTCTAGTTTAATTTTGCCTTCGGATGAGCCACTAATACCCAGCATTACAACTGCTCACAGTATGCAATATGACATAGAGTACCTTTTTCACTTTATTCTGTCAGCATTAAGCTGAACCATTAAAAACCACCTGAATACAGGCATATACATACATGCAAACATATTTTATAATGGGCTCAAGGATATTTTATAATGGGCTGCTTTGTCCATGCAACTTTTTGCATTGTCACTGAAGCTAACAGGCAGAGCTAAACATGAGTTTAGATATTTATGTAGATAGAAACTGCAGTGCGGCAAGGCCTTCCGTAGTTGCAGTGTTTCATGTCCCCGACTGTGCCCCACTGTGTGCCATATTTGTGTTCTGTGGTTTTAATCTTGCAGTTCTGTCACTAGCTGACTTTTTGTTATCCTGAAGCATAGCTCTATTCTCAGTTTTATTTTCAGCAGGTAAAAAGAAACACCTTTTAGTCTCAATAATAAAAGTCCTATCATTTGGGGGAGTTATTTTATCATAAAGGAGTTTTTAAAAAAAGTAATTATTTGGACAACCACTCTCCATACTGTTTTCATTTCTTGCAAGGGGAGAGGTTTGCAAAGAAGATATTTAGATAAAGAGCCATAGAAAGTAATGAAATATTTTAGACTGACTCCATTTCAGTGTCCCTAGATAGAAATAATCCAGGATCGTGCATTTTACATCCTTTTTACGAAAAGTATTGCAAAATATGACTGTCATTTCTAGGCATGTGTGTCGGTCCTAGGCGTGAATAAGGAAAAAAAGATGCAGCTTTCAGCCAATCTGAAAATATTTAAAACAGACTGATGGAAATTGTATTTGTATGTGTTCCAGATTAATAAAGCAGTATAAAAAGATGCTAGGCGTGCTTTCTGAACCGGACGGCAGGGAAAGTTGACAGCTGCACAACTTGTCTCTATTAGTAACAAACTTAAGCGGCTTTTTAATTGGCATTAGGAAGTCACTACTTCTAGAAACTCTCCTTATGTACTGAGAGTTGAAAGACTGCTTAAAGTGAATTGTCTAACTAGCTAAACTCATTGGGAATGTGGGGGCTATGGAGGTAGACTTTGTACTGAGGGTTTTGGTGCATTTCTCACAGCAGCTACAGTGTACATTTTAATCATAAAAGATTGATCACAGGGTAGGAATAAACCTGGGGAACTGAAAATGTAATCCACTCAGTCTTATGCCAGTCTCTGGTTATTCAACACAAGCTCGAAAGACAGAGAGTTGTGTAATTAACTAAGAATAGGGAAAGCCACTCACAGAATGTTAAATCTCCACAGTCTGTCAACTCCTCAGCTACCTTTTTATTGTTTTTAAGGGTCAATAATGCTTTTCTGGATCGACTACAGAACAAAATGCAAGCTAATAGCATCTACCAACGTGAATATTCTAGGAGTCCGGACTACTTCAATAACAGCTGCTGGGTAAGTTTCTGGATCCAGAACGTGAAAGCAATAGGATTATTTAAAAGTTATTTTTTTCCCCGGATGCTATTATGTGGTTGTATGTGTTTAGTCTGCATGATAGAACTTACAGTCCTGGCTGGCTGCCTACAATAGCTTTTAAAAAGAAATTCTGCCTTAAATGTAAGCTCTCCATATGGGGGGAGGGAGAGAGAACAGGCACCCTTGCAACAGATGCAGATTACTTTTCATGCAAGGTGCTGCAAGGTACTGTATCCAAAGCGCTTCCTTAAGTTTGAAACAAGGATCGTAAAACATTAAGGGATTTTTGGAATTTTTTTTTTAAATGAAAGATGCTTGGAAATGCTCTAAACTTTTTAATATGATACTGAAAGTGGATGAGAGAAAGAAGCAGCTGTTCAATTTTTCCTATATAAAGTTATGACAAGGAAGACCCAACTGCATCCATTTAAAAAATATAATACCTACAAGGCTTCTTTGAAGAGAAGGTATCTTGACACTAGCCTATTAAACATTCAGTCCTAGATACGGGATTTTTCCCACTATTTTAGTGAGGCATAAATGTGATTGTTGTTTTTAAGAACTGCCCACTTCAGTGTGCAAAAATATTTTGTAGTATTCCTACCATTGAAAGTTGCATTAGGGTGAAATTCCACTGGTAAGAGGAAGATAGCACAGAAATGGAAGCCTTATGAAGACTGAACAGCCAAGGGATGTGGGTCTAAGAGAGTATAGTGAATGTGTCAATGCAGAGAAAACTGTTTAGTTGGAAATCAGAAAGACTTTTGAGTTGGAATGATTGGATTGTTCTGGCCACTTGAGGCCCCATCCTGAAGTTATATAAATCTGCTTAATTACATGTAAAAGTAGCTGTATCTAATCCACATGTTGGTAGACATTCACGGGAGTGTGGATTTGTATCTCGGCAGACGAATGCCAGGAGAACTTGGGCTCAGGCTGCTACTGAGTCCTAAACATAAAAAGCATGACAGAAAAGCAAGTATTCTTACTGTTGGAGTTTTCTAGGCACTGGAACTGGAGAAAGATTCTCTTAATCCCTCCAAACTCTGGGAAGGCTCTCCCAACCTGCCAGCTCAATGTCCTGTAGCATCTCACGGTAGCCACTGGGTGAACCAGATGGCTAGGGCCTTTACCAGAAGGGCCCTCAGTATTGCATGCTAGGCAATCCAAGAGTTACTGGAAGCCAAGCTAGTGATATCCAGGCTAGTAAAGGAGTAAGTCAATGCTCTGTATGGCAGACCTGAAAAGATGACGTGTCTGCAGTATAAGAGACTTCAGGTAAGAAAGAGCCAACTGGTGCCTAGTAAGGGGCAAAAGATAAAGTCTTCTGGATGGGGCCTGGTAAATACGACAAGCAAGGGAAGGCATTATATATTTATATATATATATAAAGCAAGGCTTTTGACACTGTCTCCCATCACATCCTCCTAGGTAAGCTCAGGAAGTGTGGGCTAGATGAGTGGACAGTGAGGTGGATTGAGAACTGGCTGGATGGCCGAGCTCAGAGGGTTGTGGTGAATGGCGCAGAGTCAAGTTGGAGGCCTGTGGCTAGTGGTGTCCCCCAGGGGTCAGTCCTGGGCCCAGTCTTGTTCAATATATTCATCAATGACCTGGAGGAAGGGACAGAGTGCACCCTCAGCAAGTTTGCTGATGATACTAAACTGGGGGGAGTGGCTGACACACCAGAAGACTGTGCTGCCATTCAGAGGGACCTGGACAGGCTGGAGGGATGGGCAGAGAGGAACGTCCTGAAGTTCCACAAAGGCAAGTGCAGGGTCCTGCCCCAGGGGAGGAAGGAATAACCCCGTGCATGAGGACAGGCTGGGGGCTGACCTGCCAGAAAGTAGCTCTGCCGAGAAGGACCTGGGAGT